CGGTCACCCGTTCAGGTTGGTCCGGTTGCCCGGTCAGTTCGTCCGTTCAGACCGGGGAATCGACCAGGCCCGGTTGACCGGGTCCGGTCGGCCCGGTCACCCGGTCACGTTCAGTCACTACAATACGACACCCTTCTGCATTAGTGATGGTATTCCTCATAGTTCGCTTTCAGGGCATGAGAAGAGGTGCGGCAGTGAGGATTCCAGCTGTACAGTAACGGCTTGCGGCTTGACCTCTTTTGACTTTGTGAGGTCCTGGCGTCCAGTCTGCACCACCATTGATGGAAATCGTAACTGGCACTGTCCTTCAATTCAGGGAAGCTTGCATCATCACAACACAAGAAGGCACAACAGCATCGGCCTCAAACCGTGGTCTTTCCCCAGGGATTGCGGCGTCACCTTGCAGCTGAGGCTTTGAGCTCACGCAGAGGTCCAGAATTCCTGGTGTTTTAAATGAACTCCAGAGAAGTGGCCTAGGGCCTAGAAGATTGCAGCGGACAGCACATCGCATATATTAGACATTGACATGCTTCTGAACGAGTGAAACCTGAAAGAGTTGTCGGGAGTCTGACGGGCAGCGATGCTCGCAGGAACCTGTTTTGCAGACTCTTCGGTAGGGCGCCGGCACAAGTGATTTCCCGGCTGCTGAGCCATCGTCCCGGAGCTATGGCTCCTGCTTCTTGACTGCCTCAGTGCCAGGATGTCACGGAGAGAAGTGAGACGTATCCAGACACCTCAAAACGTATGAAAGGGCGAGTAGGTGCTGACAGACAGCTTTCACTCAGGTTGCCTGAGGGACCGCACCGAAACGGCACAAGAGCCCACCCAGTCGCTCTTCGGGGAAGTACCGTCCGTGCACGGAAACCTCGGAACGAAGGCGCCATCACTAGATCCCATAGACTGTGCCTATGCACATGATAATTATAATACATCTGTCCACGCCGGAGTTCGCTTCTTCTGCCGGCTCGCATGGTCACCGCTTGCACAGGGCCACCGAGAGTCCCGCGTTTGTGCCACCTGTGTTTGGCCCAGAACGCGGCGACACGCTGTCGACATGGGGCTGCCTCCGAGAGCAAAAGGGGCGTGCGGTCCAAAGAAGAGCCAGACCAGTCACATTGGCACAACGGGAAGCTGGGCCAGCCTGATGTAGGTGAACCGATGCTGGCCTGATTTGAGGCATTGACACCTACATTCAATTCTCTCTGCCTGCTGTTTCTTGGCGCCCCACAGGGCTCATACTCGAAGACATTCTCTGCAGAGGATGGCACGACACGCACACCTTGTGCAAGGCAACTATCACTTGTTGCAACGCAAGATCGCGTGGAGAGCTCGCGAAAAAGCCATTTCCTTGCTTTCCTCAAACAGGACCCAGCTGCCAAACCCGAAATACATCATTGCATGAGTACGAAGCTCATGCTTCGTTATAATAGAAACTAACCAAACGTTATGGAGCCAGATTCTTAACGAGAGGTGCTAGGCACAGAGACCGCTGCTACGGTATCGTTCAAATCGTCTGGGGCGGCCCACAGACCGGGTAGCTGCCGGCCAACATGGGATCCTCTTCACTGTCGCACACGCCCCAGTCGGCACCCTGACCTCAACACCGTGCGAAAGTTAGAAGAGGCGTCTGGGCGAGGGCTCACCGTCTCTTCTGCTGACCAATGTGCTGCAACTTACACAATGAGTTCTCGGTTCTAATTACTCGTTCCACGTCAGTGCAGACGGTGCCGAAGCCAAAGGCCCAAACATAAAGGCTGTTCGACTGCGCACCAGGACCTGGCAGAGTTCGAGGCACAGCCTAGTTTGTAAGAGCTGTCTGTGAAGTCGACGATTGTGCACATTGACTGCTGCAAATGCTGTTGTTTTCTGCCGTTCACTGCAGACGCGAGTCGGCAGCAAAGGATGGCAGTTTAAGCGATGCTGCGGGGGCTTGTGCTCCGTGCACACGAGGAAGAGTCGCGTTGCAACCGCTTGACACTTTAGACCATGACGGTGGACGTTGAGGGTGCCGGAATGGAAGCAAAGCTGATCCAGCTGAAGTTGAACACTTCCGGCTGCCCAACGTGAGGCGAAGTTCTCCATCTCCCCGTCCAAGAGAAGGGCGGCTGCTGGTCTGCCGTCGGCCCACTAATTGCACTGAAGCGCAAAGCCTGGCAATCTGAGGCGGTACAGATCTTGCCGTCTGTGTTTCCGAAAGCCTCCGTGGTGTTTTCCCAGGGATGCAAGTCATACCTAGCAGCAATAGCATTTTCAGGTGCCCGAGGCTCCCAGGGACCTTCATATCCATGGGCGGACAGGGGATCATATCGCCAGTTGTTGTAGCGGAGAAGCTTCTGAACTTTCGGAAGGTCCGTCGCCTTGAGGATGTCGCGAGCAAAGATCCTTGCCCGAGGATTCTTCGTGTAGGAGTAGGAGTCGCCATAACGCCTCTCCATAAAGTCTGCGCCAGACGCTTCCCGAATTGCAGGGAAGTACGGGGAGTTGTACGATACCCAGAAGCCCTGACTTCGCCTCAGCTTGGTGGAAATTGCAATGGAGCACTTCAAGCGTGTGCATGCGCTTGCTTCAGCTTGCAGGTGAGTGACAGCACCTTACTTACATCTTCCCAAACGATGATACCGGGCATCTGCTCCAGAACAGTGAGCATACCATCTGGCACCTCCTCACCAGGTCGGAACTTGCTGGTCGCAACAACCTGCCTTGGACTGAATGGGCCACTCTACAGCACAAGCTTAGATCCCATCATCCTAAGCAAAAGCCTTCTAGACCCTAAAGATCCTGGACCCCAAACCCCATGCCTAAACCGGCGAAGATGCAGACGTGCCCTATTCGATTCGACTTTCCTTCTAGCTGGACAGGAGACATGCCTGCTCTTCCAGGATCATCTTGCGGGCTTCTTCCAAACAACCCCCCCCCCCCAAGGTCTCTCTCGCGCAATGGAGTGGGGACATCATTTCGGAGACGCCAAAAAAAAGGGGACCCTAAATGACCCTTATAGAGTCCTAAAGAGAAGTTGCCCCCCTCCCCCCCCACCCCCCTTCTTCCCCAAATGGCCCCAAGCAAGCCATTTGGGATGCAGTGAGAAGCTGCCATTGGTTGTTGATGGTTCCGGAGTTGAAGGGCGAAAACCATCGAGCCCAGGAGGGGCCGTCCTCAGCTGCAGGGGCCTTTGAAGAACTTGAACTGGGCTTTGGGGAGTTGAGGGGTTCAGAGGGTTTAGGGTTTAGGACTTAGGTTTTAGGGTCTAGGGGTTTAGGGTTGAGGACTTAGGTTTTAAGGTTGAGGACTTAGGGTTTAGGGCTTTGGGTAGTATACACTCTACTGTCATGGTTCATCAGGGACTCTGGTCATAGTGTAATTAGAACAGAGCTTTAGGGCATAGCATACTATGCTACCCTAAGCTCAGATGCGCACATGTAATGACCGTGGGCTCTTGAGCTTCTTTTCCTCGAACTCGTTGTGGGTCTGAGGGTTTCGGATGCACATGGGTCGACGGCATTATGACAAGTGAAAGGTTGCTCATTCGGCATCTGAGCGTCTGTGGCACGGCGATTTGCTACTAAAGTCCTCGCCCACGTCAAGACGCTCTCGGGTTTGATCAAGGCAGCAGTGGTCTTGTTGTACAGCCTGAGACTGTCAGGGCTAAAAGGATGCCGCCCGCGACACAGCCGCAGCAACGATAGGATCCTTGTCCTGTCTAATTCAGAAGCAGTCTAACTCTGAAGACACGATCCTACTTCATTCGATGATGACTTGTACTAGCTGTACTCTGACTGCGGCCTGCTGGCTAGTCCTACTATTGAAGCATGAACTTTGATGGACGTCAGCCTTGCTACCAACATTATGATCTCGTCGTGGCTGCTTTGCAGCGTCGTGATCATTGTGAGGTTACTATATCTCCACTCTCTTGTCTGTGAGAATGCCGCTGCTAGTCTGCCAGTGTGTGTAGTGCCCCCTGCCGTAGCTACGCGAGAGCCGCAAGAAGTGAATCATAGTAGATCTCCTGCCCTGGCCGGTTATACGTGGATACACCACCTGGAACCTGCCCATGTGGCTCAGAACCTCTCAGCATAGCAGCGAGTTCGTTGTCTCCTGCACCGTAAGGCCAGAGCTCAAGGTGTAGAAGTCATCTCCACTGTAGAGTTGGCCATAATATCCAGAGAAGACCACCTTGTCTGCGGCTCCGCCCAGGGGCATGTCATACTCCTGCGGGCTCGAGGAGCTCCACACAAATAACTCTGGGTATCACCTAAATGTAGGTAGGGGGTTAAATATATAGTCAGCATAATCATAAGACCTAGGGACAAGGCAAATTCTGGTATCATGATGAAATCAAGAACCCCGCAGTGCGTCATGGCCATGTTTTCAAGTCCTTGAGGAGCCGCAGCATCGAGTAGTAGCCGGTCCAGGTATTGTGCCCCACAAAGAGGTCGATGTTATTGGGCGCTAACCTGAGGTTGGAGGGATCCTATTCCGTTGACAACAACGTATTTCATGAGGTACTCGAACGGAATCCGAACCCCACCTGATGATGGAGGAGCAATGGGAGGTCTCGCGTGTGAACTCGGCAGCGCGCTTCAGAGTCCACTCGTCCTCGGCGAAGGGAACTTTCACCACGTTGTACAGGTCTTGCTCGGCCTGAAAGAACAGGAAATCGAGCAGGGAAAGGCAATTCTGGCCGCAAGCAGCAGCGTTGCCAGCCACCAACCCGTCGAGCTGTGCCCACACGATGGCAATCTCTGCCCACCAGTCGCCCGCTGGGCTTTTGATTTTCTCCCGCACGAACCGATCATTCTGCATCAAAAAGGACTCTGCTACAGCATAGCTCGTGTAATTCCCCTTGAAGTAGGCCTGCCGGTAGGAGAGCTTGTGCTCATAGGATCGCTTTGCGGTCATGGCACCTTCAGCAAAACCGGCAGCAAATGCCAACCTGAGACGATCCTTCTGGGAAATCTGGAAACTGGGACTACGTGTCCGACCATGAACGTGAAGTTTCGCCCAGCCAACTTGCTCCACCGTGTCTTGATACTGCGCAACGACATCGGCATTCGGCAGGGCCCCGTGCGCCAAGGTGCACACGAAACCATCCGAGGCACCAGAACTCTCGCTGGGATCCTGATGGGAAGCAGGCTCTATTGCCAGGGCCGCTAAGTAGGGTCACAGTCATGTCCCCAGGACCCCTGACACCTTTGTGTCTAACACGCCTAACAACGGTACCACGGTCACAACTCTCTGGCATCCCGTGGTTGACAAGTTGGGCCTCGCAGGAGACACTGGCAACTTCCCAATCGGCAGCCCAAGCTCCCGTGCACGAGAGCAGAAGCGCCAACAAAGCAGGAGCTGCCATGCTACAGCTGTACTTCATGATTGGCCCATCTACGGCCTTGAGCCAAAGAAGTCTTCCTTGGGGAGGCGACTGGACCTTGACAAGCCTTCTGCATACATGATCCCTAAGCTCTGCTTGGGAGGAAGGAAACCCCTGTTGGCCCCTATGCGTCCGCAGTTCACAACTCAAAGGCCATAGAGACGAAGGCCTCGGTGCATCGCCATCAGGATTGCAACCTCAAGTCTCAGGAGATCAGAATCTCAAGGCAATGTCTCCCACAGTGTATATGATCCACCGGACCGGACTCAGGCCATCGCAGGAGCTGTCGCACATCTGTCCGGAAGGTGTGAACCAGACTTTTTTGCAAGTGCAGCCAGCGGCAGTCAACCTGATCGCGGCGCAGGATCCCAATCCCTGGACCCCATGACCTGAATATCCTAGATTCCCAGGCTTTGCTTCAAAGAGCAAACACTTTGACTTTACCGCCTTGCCTTGGGATGTTCATAGCAATGGGCACAGTGCATCCCAGCGTGTAGCTGCGGAAATCCGGAGACGATTGGATTTGCAATAAGGTGGCAGGGACCCTCTGCAAGCCAATAACGCAGTCGAAGTGGAAGTCTGGAAGAAGCCGCGGCCAGGTCGTGATGGTAAGGGTCAAGTCGGTACCCCCAGAGGAAGGGCCCACAACGGGTGTCACTTGAGCCAGCCTGAATCGTAACTCGGGATCGTGTGAGAGGTTTCCCTGCACCTCCAACCGTGGGATGTCTGGCTGAAGGACTAGGTCCTCAGCCATTTCCGGCTCGACGTCTCTGTGCAAAACCGTCAACCCCAAAGAGGAATCTGACCACTCCTGACCATTCAGCGTCACGCGCAGCTTGACCATGTCTTCCCCTTTATGCAGCCAGGAGAGGCCGTCGGGAGTCGGGCACAGTATGAGATGACGGGACAAGTACTCGGGCTCTGTGGTCACAAAATTCGTGTCCCAACCAACTTCCCTGTTCACAAAGAAATCACCGCCAGACACCCACACATTGATGATGTCTGGAATTCTCTCCTCCAGCGTCTCATTGTCATCTGTGTAATTCGACCAAGTGGCATTCTCATCGGTTGTAGTAACGGTGGATGTGGTAGACGAAGTGGTTGTGGTGCTGGTGATGGTGGTGCTGCTCGTGGAAGAGGTTGTGGAACTAGTGGATGAAGAAGTGGAGGTGGACGATGTAGAGGTCGTAGTGGAAGTGGAGCTGGAGGTGGTCGAAGAAGATGATGTGGTTGTGGAGGTGGAGCTGGTGCTGGTGCTTGTGCTCGTGCTGCTTGTGGTCGTGCTGGACGTTGTCGTGCTTGTGGTGCTGCTAGTTGTCGTTGTCTGGGTTGTTGTTGAAGCGTTGTCCGACTCATTCACATCGTCGCTGTCGTCGGAAACATTCTCGTCGATACCATCGGAATTGTCCGGACCAGCAGTTGTGGTTGGCGCCAGGAAGCTGGTCGTGCTGGATCGCACAGTGGTTGGCCTCCCAAGCACTAAGACACTAAGAGCCACGACAGGATCCCCTCCTCAACCCAACATGGGAACCCGTACTAAACCTGGGCAAGATCCCAAAAACCACAACCCTAAAGCTGCGTCCTCTTCGTCACCGTGACATTCAAGCTGATGTTTGGAGCGGTCTCGTTGGTGTCGTTTTCGACCTCATCATCTTCTTGTAGTTCTGGCTGCGGCCCACCTAGGCTGAGGCATGCATGCACGCACAAACACGAAAAAAAATGACAAAGCTCGCACATGCACACACGCACGAGCACGCAAAGACAGACGGACGGAGGTGCACGCACGCACGCACGCACGCAC